ATGTGCCTTAACATGCCACATCTTTTAATTTACTGCAGAATAGAACATGAGCATCCCATGATAAAAATATGATATCTCTCAATTCATAAAAATTTTATCTCCGAATCTTTTTGAGTATTTAAATAGACTCGGAAATATAAAATAGTGCTCGTTTCCATCCTTAAATCATATCATTTAGTGAGTCTTCGTTTAAGTGCATTTACGTCACAATGCAATTTTTTCAACAAAAAATCAAGTTGACCACCTCTCAATAAAAATTTTGTTTCTCTCAATCCTTAAATAATTTCTTTTTGAAATCTTTTGTGTTGCAAAATAGACTCAAAAACAAATTATAATATCAGGATGTGAATCCAAAATAATACGTTCTTCAGAGAAATAAATAAGTGACATTCACGTCACAAAATAAATCATGCTGTGGAATTTCAAGATGAATACTATTTAGTAAATTTGTCTTTTCTCTCTACTCTCATGGAGTTTTCCTTTCAAACCATTTTTTTGAAAGTAGACACATAATGGTAACACATATGTTTCCACAACTCTCATATCACTCTGTTAAGTAGGCTTGATAAATATAGTTATTCGTTTCTTAATGAAGAGCATACAAAATTGTAGAAAATTCAGGATAACCTATTTTCAATCCAAAATTTTTATTTCTCTCTTCCCAAAGATATTTTTCTCTCAAATAAATTTTATTAGAAAATAAACTCAGAATAGAAGTCTAAAAACTTAGTGTGAACTATAAAACATTATGTTAATAATAAAAATAAAATTATGACTTCCAAGTCATTGAAATAGTTTTTGTTATAGAAAACAAAACTTGTGCACCCTTCAATAAATAGACCATATCTTTTAAATCATATGGAATTTCGTGATAAACTATTTTTGTTTGAAATTAGACTTAATTTTATAATCTACAGTTAAATTTTAGAAAGAAATAGAATCATATGGTTGGTAGGAAAAATCAACTCAATACGCAGTTCCTGGATTTTGCAGGGTCAAAACTGACACCCTTCATTGATGAGTCTATAACTGTCAATTCCATTAGGATCTCACACTGAAATTTTGCAGGTAGATCCTACCCTCAACGACACACAATATCACTGAATAATGTAATAGAAAAATATATCATTAACTTCTTCATATCACTACTTTGAAATAGCCCAGAATACCCATTTTTCATAGTATCTTTTCGGTATTTGAATATTCTAATAATTCTTAACGGTTGGTGTATTACTTGACAACAAAGGTCCTTAGCTTTCTTATATCTCATTCTCAAGCTTGATCTAGGCTCAATAAATGATAACAAAAGTCATTTGCTTCTTTGTTTTTTTTTTTTCAAGAGTGGACTACTTGGGGATGGCCCAGGAACATTGCATGAGCCGAGTTTCTAAAAACTCTTTGAAATAGTTAATCGCATGATATATGAGAGTACAATCCAAATCACAACAGGAAACAAAAAGCGGAAAACTGTGATGTTCAAAAAGAAGCACACGGTTTCTATGCTGCCAGCTGCATATTGGAGAAATGCGGGCTTGCCAATAAATATGTTTTTTAAATATAATTTGATCTTAATTTTTAGATAATATGTAATCTTTAACAAGGAGATCGTGAATATGAAAAAATAAAAACAAATAAAAAAATTTGAAAACTAGAAATAATAATTATATTAAAAAAACATTTCGACTGTTAATTACACATTTTTTTAGATGGACCACCTATTGGCATCCATATTTAGTGTGGATGCTTTATACCTCTGGACCGCATATTGTAGAAATGTGATCCAACCCGCATGAAACAATTTCTTTAAAAGAAACAGCAAATGATAACGGTCGAGAAATAAGAAGGGTACAACAAAGGTACAACTTCACTATGGATATAAAATCGTTTGAATTAAACTGGTGGATTGCAATCCCAAGATAGATTTAAAGACTAGAGAGCTACGGATCTTTGCAACCTGAGCCTTGAATAGAACACCATGACTACACACATGGATAAAAAGGACTGATGTTCATCCACTTCTAAAGCTTTTCTGTCTTAGCTTATAGAAAATGAATTATCCGAATACAACACATGGAAGTAGATAAAGAATGACTAATGTGATTTTGTTGGGGGTATTTTTTTTTATTTTTCTTCTTTTCATCCATTTTTTTTCTTTTTCTTTTCGTTCGCTAAATGATCACTTACAAGTAGTTTTATTACAATAACTCTTACTTCAAAGAAAATAAAACAAATCTCAAGATCTTAAAAACCTTGATGCCACTAAACCAATTTTTTTTAAACAAATAAATTATCCACAATTCTTATGCTTGGG